CTGACAGTGTGGAGCCTGCTTGGGATTCTGTCTCCTTCTCTCTCTGCCCCTCCCTTGCTTGTTCTCTCTCTCTCTCAAAATGAATAAATAAACATTTAAAGTTTTTTTTAAAAAATCCACTGACAATAATGCATGGTCTTATTTCTGGCCTCTAAATTCTGTTCCATTGCTCTACATACTATAGTTTCACAAGATGTTACCATTGGGGGAAACTGGGTAACAGATACCTGGCATTTCTCTGTATTATTTCTTGCCAACTGCTCATGAATCTACAATTATCTCAATAATAATTTAATTTTTAAAAAGTAGAGATTATTTTTAAGGTACATTCTTACCACCCCCCCCACACCTGTACCCCTGAACTGAAAGATGTTCTAAGGATTTTTCTAGCCTGTGTCTGAGGTGCCTACTCTCACCCTCCAGGGGGCACCAGCTCTCTCTCCTTACCTCTAGTTTTGCACGAGCAAAAGTCGGAAAAGGCCCTGCCAGGGTCTTCTGACAAATTCAAGGCCCCTTGCCAGGCTCTGGCGGTCCACCAGGGCTGTTTCAGAGCTCTGGCCTGCCCTGAAGTTCCCCTCAATTTAACAGGGAGATTCAGACCTACTGCCTACCTCTGCCTTAGGGGCAGCTTCTTGCCTCACACAATTAATTCTGGGGGTGCCTGGGTGGCTCAGTCAGCTAAGCCTCTGAGTCTTCATCTCGACTCAAGTCGCCATCTCACGGTCCATGAGATCGAGCACTGTGTTGGGCTCTGTGCTGACAGCGCTTGGGATTCTTCCCCTCCCTCTCTCGCTGCCCCTTCCCTACCCACGCGTGCTTTCTCTCTCTTGCAAAATGAATAAATAAAGCTTTTTAAAAAGTTTATAAAACGAATTGCCAAAAAGAAGCAGTCCACGATTTCTTCTCTCATTACACCCACCTTTGAAAGCATTTATTCATTTATTCCATCAGCGTTTGAGGGTACCCACTATTATATTATTCTTATAAACATAGCAAGTACTCTGTACATGTAAGGTATTATTTTAATAAAGTTAGGCTTTTTTGTTCAGGATCACATAATGAACATAACTCCCCACACCCCTTTGCCACCTGTAAAGGGCTACACTGTAATAAGGTGCCATCATTACTGGGGCGGGAGGGTCACGATGTAAGTGCTGGCGTTTATCAACAACCCACCAGAGGACAGACACGTCATGTTTTATCCTTAACCCACCCAAAGAAAGCTCAAAGTAAACAGCACTGTGTTCTTCCAGTCACAAAGAAACCAAAGCTCAGAGAAGTTATGTGAATTGTCAAAGGACACACAGTGCCTGAGTGACAGAACTGGCATCCAAAGCCAGGTTCCCAGGTTGCCAGAGACTCATGCTTCTGCTGCACTCCAGGCCGTCAAGTGAAGGGAAATCTCAGGGTGGAGCCGCCATCAGGAAAGTCTGTGCTGAGCACACAAGGTTGTGGGTTTTTAAAAAATTTTTTAACGTGTATTTACTTTTGAGAGACAGAGAGAGACAGAGCGCCAGCAGGGGAGGGGCAGAGAGAGAGGGAGACACAGAATCCGAAGCAGCTCCAGGCTCTGAGCTGTCAGCACAGAGCCCGACGCGGGGCTCGAACCCGCGAACTGTGAGATCATGACCTGAGCCTAAGTCGGATGCTTCACCGGCTGAGCCCCCAGGCGCCCCATGAACACACAGTTATTAAATGACCAGGGAAATCGGTCAGCCTCCTACATTTGCTTTTCTTACACCTTTTCTTTCAAATATCCTAACAGTTCTGTTTATAAATGATGCCTAATTTAGCAAGAGACAGTTCCCAGGTAATGTAATAATTCTTTTTTTTTAATTTTATTAAAATTTTTTCATGTTTTTATTTCTAAGAGAGAGAGAGAGAGAGAAAACGTGAGTGGGGGAGGGTCACAGAGAGAGGGAGACACAGACTCTGAAACAGGCTCCAGGCTCCGAGCTGTCAGCACAGAGCCCGATGCGGGGCTCCATCCCACGAACCGTGAGATCATGACCTGAGCCAAAGTCAGATGCTTAACCAACTGAGCCACCCAGGCGCCCCAATGTAATATATTTCTTTTTTTTCCTTTTCTGATTAGGAAAAAAAAGCATATATATTTGGGGGGAAGAAATCTTAATACAGCAAAGTAAATGAAAAGGAGACAACTAAGTATTCCCTTTTTCTTTATTACATCTTTATTTATATTTGGTGCCTACAAAGGACTTTATGTAATGTGTGTGTAAGTTTGGGGGCATGATAATAAATGCAGATCTAGAACATCACCAATAACCAGAGTCCCTCTACATTATCGTGCCCTACCCACCTCCAGAAGTCACTACCACCCTGAATTTTTAGTCTCTTGTTTCCTTGCCTTAAAAAAGAAAAATCAAGGGACTCCTGGGTGGCTTAGTCGGTTGAGCGTCCGACTTTCGCTTAGGTCATGATCTCGCGGTTCGTGGGTTCAAGCCCCGCGTCGGGCTCTGTGCTGACTGCAGCTTAGAGCCTGGAGCCTGTTTCAGTCTGTGACTCCCTCTCTCTCTGACCCTCCCCTGCTCACGCTGTCTCTCTCTCTCTCTCTCCTCTAGAAATAAATAAAATATTTTTTTAAAAAATCATGTATGCATACTTAAAGAATGAACTTTGTAAGTTTTGTGTATTTTTGAGCCTTATAAAAATAGTAGCACACCGTAAGTAGTGTTCCAGGATTTCAGGTACTTGGTATTATCGAAGATTTATCTTAAAGTTATGTAACTGTAGTTTATCCCTTTCACTGTTGTATAATATTCCATTGTGAACATCTCACAACATACTTGTCTGTTTTCCTAATGCTGGGCATTTAATTTGTTTCCAGCTTTTTTTTTTAATTAAAATAATTTTAAGAATTTTTAATGATTATTTACTTTTGAGAGAGAGACAGTGCAAGCAGGGGAGGGGCAGAGAGAGAGAGGGAGACACAGAGTCTGAAGCAGGCTCAGACTGAATGCTGACAGCACAGAGCCCAGTGCGGGACTCAGACTCAGGAACTGTAAGATCATGACCTGAGCTGAAGTCAGACACTTAACTGACTGAGCCACCCAGGCTCCCTCCAGTTTTTTTTTTTATTTATTTTTTATTTATTTCTAGGAGAGAGAGAGAGACAGCGTGAGCAGGGGAGGGTCAGAGAGAGAGGGAGACACAGAATCTGAAACAGGCTCCAGGCTCTGAGCTGGCAGTCAGCACAGAGCCCGACGCGGGGCTCGAACCCACGCACCGCGAGATCATGACCTAAGCGAAAGTCAGACGCTTAACCGACTAAGCCACCCAGGCGCCCCACCTCCAGTTTTTTTTTTTAAGTGTATTTATTTTGAGAGAGAGAGAGTGAGAGTGAGTGAGCATGAGCAAGGGGGAGAGAAAGGATCCTAAGCAGATGTCTGTGCAGAGCCTGATGCGGGGCTTGATCCCACAAAACCTGAGGTCATGACATGAGCCAAAATCAAGGGTCAGACACCCAACCAACTGAGCCACCCAGGCACCCCTATGTATTTATTTTTTGAGAGAGAGAGATAGTGTGTGTGCAGGGGAGGGGCAGAGAGAGAGGGAGAGAGAGAGAATTCCAAAAAGGTTCTGTGCTGTCAGTGTAGAGCCTGTCGCGGGGCTCAATCTAACGAGCTGTGAGGTCATGACCTGAGCTGAAACCAAGAGTCAGAGGCTTAACCGACTGAGCCCTCCGGGCGCCCCAGGACTTGTCCTTTCACTTTCTTTATGGTTTTGATAAATACAAGTGTGAATATTTCATGTTGTCAAATTATCAACATTTCCCTTGGTGGATAGAATTTTTTTTTGTCTTTTCAGAGAAATACTTCCCTTTCCCAAGGATGGAAAGATATTCTTCTATTTCAGAGTTCCATAGGATTTTCTGCAGTGATGGACATGTCCTTCATCTGTGATATCCCGGACAGTAGCCACCGGCCACATGTGGCCACTCAACACGTGAAATGTGGCTGGTGTGACCCAGAGACTGACTTTTAAATTTTATTTAATGTTAATTTAAAAATAATTTGAAGGATGCCTGAGTGGCTTAGTCGGTTAAGCGTCTGGCTCTCAAAATAAATGAATGAACAAAAAATGAAAATAATTTATTATTTTTAAAGATTTATTTTATTTTTTTATTTTTGAGAGAGAGAGAGAATGTGAGTGGGGAGGGGCAGAGAGAGAGACAGACAGACAGAGAATCCCAAGCAGACTTCATGCTGTCAGCACAGAGCCCAATGCAGGGTTTAAATTCACGAACTGTGAGATCATGACCTGAGCTGAAATCAAGAGACCGACGCTTAACCGACTGAGCCACCCAGGCGCCCCCCAAAATAAAAACAATTTAAAATAGCCATATGTGCTTAGTGCCTGCTGTATTAGACGGTACAGTTCTACGTTTTCTTTGTTAGAAGAAAGTTTGCCTTTCACATTTAATTTCTGACTTCATCTGAAAATTTTTGGTACGGTCTGAGATAAGAAGCCAATTTCATTTTTTCCCCAGTGTGGAGAATCTACTGCCCGGCACAATTGACTGAATAGTCCTTTCCGTCCACCCTGGTCTCTCAGCCTTTCCCTTATATTCTGTTTCTATGTCCGATATCAACGCCCATTTCTGTGCGTGTGTTTCTAGGCTCCGTTCATTGTCAGTGTCGATCCGTCTGTCCCTGTGTCAGCTCCACGGTGCCCTAGTCGTCACAGTCTTAGAATAAGTCCTGAGGCCGGTATCTGATAGAACAACACCTTCCATATTATCCTTTTTGGAGAATGCCTGGCCCTTTGTTGGGCTCCCCTTCTCCATAGAAGTCCTCCAAATAAAGCTTATTCCATAAACAAACTTGCGGGATTTTAATTAAACTTGCATTAAATCTGTAGGTCAATGTAAGTAATCGGAGGCATAACTATTTATTTTACATATGTACGTAGCTTTTGGCTTTTTAAAAATCAACCCTGTGGTCCGAGCTGTCAGCACAGAGCCCGATGCAGGGCTTGAACTCGGGACTCATGAGATCATGACCTGAGCCGGAGTCGGACACTCAACCGACTGAGCCCCCCAGGCGCGCCTCACACGCGTTTTTCCATGTCATCGTATCACAGCCCTCGGTGGCAGGGATGCCTCTGTGGTCTCCATTTTCCAAGTTAACTGAGGTTTACAGAATTTGATGACTTGCCAGAAGTCGTCCAGGGAACGCCCCTGAAGAGCCACGTCTCTGACTTCAAAGCTCTAGCCGTTCGTGTGCCAAAGTGCCTCTCAGCCGCCCCCACCTCGGACGTTTCGTTTTGTGTCGTTTTCCCGTGTAACTGACATTGTGAGGAGCGTCTTCGGTATACCTTTCCTCCTCGTCTCCCCGGGCCACAGGGAGGTAGTCCCTTGTCAAAGGGCGTGCCGATACTGCCTTCCAGAAAGTTCATGTCAGTTCTACTTTCCCAGCTTGTTTAGTGGCAGCGTTTCCCAGTCATTGCCCCTCGTGAACAACCGGGAAAAGAACCTGACTTGTCGACTGCCGCTTCTGTGGGCCGGACGCAGCGCTAACGCGCTCCCTTCCATCGTCTCATCGGGTCCGCGCAGTGATGTCAGGAACCTCAAGCTCAGAGGGGAACGTTCATTTGCCCAGGACCATACAGCAGGCTAGGCATGCAAGCAGCCAGAGCGTTACCCTCCTCCTTAAAACCCTCCGAAGCGCTACCCCTGTACTAGGAGTAAAATCCAAACTCCCGTCTACGGCCTGCGAAGGCCTGATGCCTTGCGTCCCCCCCCCCATGCTCCCCCCAGCCGTACGGTGTGCCTTCCGTCCCTCCAGCTCGCCTCTCGGCCTTTGCCCGGCCAGCCCCCTCACCTTTTACACGGCTGTTGCTCTCCCAGTCCGGCTCAGCTGCGAGGCCGCCTCCTCAGAGAGGTGGTCCTGGCCCCCACAGCCAAAGGACCACCGCCCCCTTTCCCCCGATCTCGTCGTATATTCCTCACAGCGGTTTGTCACTGTCAGATGGATCACCGATTTGCTTGCTGTACCTGCTGCCTGTTCCAGAGGAACAGAAACGACAGGGTGTGTGCGTGTGGAGAAAGAGAAATTGATTTGCTGTGAGGAAGTTTCTCGCGCAGTCACGGATGCAGGAAGGTCTGGCGATCTGCAGGGTGAGCTGGCAAATCCGGAGACTCGAGAGAGCCGATGACTCAGTTTCAGTTCGGGTCCAGAGGTCAGAGGCAGGGGAGCCGCTGTGTCATTCCCATCCAAAGACTGGCAGGCTCGAGGCTCAGGAAGGGCTGACGCTTCGCTGCGAACACAAAGGCAGAAGAAAAGCTGATACCTCAGTGCGAAGGCAGTCGGGCAAGTAGTTCCCTCTGATTCAGCATTTTTGTTTCATTCAGGCCTCCGACTGGTTGGATGAGGCCCGCACACGTCGAGGGGGGCAATCTGCTTTACTCGGTCTACTGATTTGAGTGTTCATCTCATTCCAAAACACCCCCACAGAAATACCTGGCAAAACATTTGACCAGACATCTGGGCACCCCACCACCCAGTCAGGCGGATGCAGAATTAGTCATCGCACTTGGTTATTGTCACCTCTCCACCTTTAGCTGCTGAGGCAGCTCCCTGGCCGCCCTGTCCCTGGCACCTGGCCCACCGGAGGTACTCAGGGACAGCAGCTGAATGAATGAATGGCAGAACCTAGGTTCCAGCCCTGAGCTGAGCAGTCCCATGAGTATCCTTTTTCTGTAGTAAATTACTTCGCTTTCGTCACTGGTGGTTTCCCGAAAAGAAAATCATGAGGTAAACTCTCAAGTCAAACCAATGTCCGTGATTTGTGCGTGTGCCATGGCAGAGCACTGGGACTCCCAGGCCACTAGGCAGCTCCTTGGGGACCCTTGGATCCCAGGCAGCAGGTTGACAGCCATGCTGCTCTTCTCTGAGTGTGTGACCCAGAGCCAACCGGAAGCCCAGGAGTCCTGTAGCAGAGCCTCAAGGTCACTGCGAGATGACCTCCGGGCCCTGGGAAGGAGGAGGAGAAGCATCGCAGGAGGGTGGAGTAGCTGAATACTTGTTAGCGATTCCCTGGGAGCTGGCGACTGTGAATAGGAAGGGTTAGAGCATCTCCACCCATCAGACGGAAGAGTAATGACCTCCCAATATATCCAAAGGGAGTATCTGCGACAACTCTGACCCCCCCCCTTCGACGACTGTTTTATATCAACCACAACATCTGGGCCCAGTAAACATTGGATTGTGCCTGGGTCTGGGGATTCTATAGTGAGAAGGCCCCCAGAAGAAGGCTGTCTGTACTTAAACAGGTAATACACATGCGCGATGTGGTGGGGTGTACACAAATCCCACTAGTGCAAATAAAGGAGGAGCACACTTCGTGTGCAAGGCCCTGGCTCCCGCATACCCCTGGCGGGCGTTTATGGTACACTGTGTGAAGGCCCTTTGACTCTGGAAAACCCCCAGCAAGTTTAGCCATAGGGGTGAGTTTGTTTTCTCTTTCTAAAAACGTCACTGGGGACCTACTATGTATTTGCATCGTGCTTTCCTTGGAAGAGACTCGCACAAGAGCTGGCGCGTTGGGTGGGGCAGGAAGGCTACGGAGCTGGAGGGCCCAAGACACGGGCTGAACGTGTATTTGCAACCCGGCCAGACAGGGGCACCAAGAAGAAAGAGAGAGGGAGATTCCTCGAAATGATTAAATATTTAGTATTTACCACCCAAAACCACTCAAAATAGTCAACCAAGGGGGAAAAAATGAGACCATGGCTGCCTTACATTGTCTTCATTTTTTGTTTTAAATTTTGCTTCAGAATTGGGCAAGCAAGCAAAGCATTTTGGTAAATGTGCAGGCTCGGGGGCCACTCAGGTTGGGTTCGAGTCCCGGTCCCACCGGAAGTGCCACTGCATTTAAACACCATCAATTCTTTCCTATTTGAGAAAGAGAAAGAGAAGAAAACCCTCCTTCTGACTAGGCCATCTTCCATTTATCTCACCCTCTCAGGAAAGACCATAGACAAGCCGTAAAAATTATACAGACGACGACTTCAAAAGTCGTCCTTATTCTTTGCCTTCAGGCTTGCTGCTGCCCAGCCCCCCCCACCATGGAGGGCGCTCTGCCCCCCCCACCATGGAGGGCTCTCTGCCCTGCCCCCCCACCACGGAGTGCGCTCTGCCCCCCCCACCACGGAGGGCGCTCTGCCCCCCCCACCATGGAGGGCGCTCTGCCCC